ATAAAACAAATATTTTATTGTGATTTGGGTGAAAGTTTACAAAGCAAATTCATCTTCACGCAGCAGTTCATACACATTTTGTTTCATGACATTGACTGCAATTCCCCACAATGTAACAGCTCTCTTCCCACTTCCTCCCCATAGTTACCTCTTCCCTGTGTCCTTGCCTCCCATGCACTCCTACCCCCAAAGCTATCTCCCTGTGCCAACACTGCCCTTCTGTTCTCCCACGATTGATTGTTCTGAGGAATGTATCTACCTGATGTAAATGTTCACCCCATATGCCTGTCTGTTGTTTGGCTGGAAGCCATAGGAGTGAGTTCAGTTCCAGACATGAAGGGTAACTAGGGGCCATAGTCTCAGGGGTCTCACCAGGCTCTATCAGACCAGCAGAAAGCTGCTTTTCCTTTTAAAAAAAAAAACAAAAAACTTACGGGACCACACTGACTTATGTATGGTTGGATGTTGCACTAACGGTTAATTGGTTAAATGACACATACCTGTACATGTTGTTGTTGTTATGTGCCCTCGAGTCGGACCCAACTCATAGAGACTCCTCCTTGGGTTTCCAAGGCAGTATCACTATGGAAGTAGATTGCCCCATCTTCCTTCTGAGGAGTGGCTGGTAAATGACTCTTCATACCCTCCCCTACTACTGGGGTAACAGCCTAGAGCATAGGCCCAGTAAGTACCAGTACCAGTTGCTGTGAGCTCATTTCCAACTCATTGTGACCCCTCTATTTCGGAGTAAAACTGTGCTCTATAGGGTTTCCAATGGCTGTGCTCTTTCAGAGGATTGCCAGGACTTTCTTCTGAGGCATCCCTGTATGGATCTGAACTGTCAACCTTTCCATTAGTAGCTGAGCACTTAACCATTTGCACCACCCAGGAATGCACTAGAGAAAGGGGAAGTTCTTCTGTCATCTTCCTATAGGGGAAGGGACTGCGTTTATTGAGCACTTATTATGTGCCAGCCATACTTACTCCTCACACTCCTCACAACAATAATCCTATGAGGCTGGCATTTGGCACTATCATCACTTCCACTGGACACATGGAAAAAGTGAGACCCAGAGAGGCCAGTCAGTGGTGGAGCTGGGATATGTACTACAGTTCGCTCTTTCTGCTTGACTTCAAGTGTGCATCAAATAGAGCCATACATATTCTCTCAAGCTTTAGAAATTTGGGGGTTAGGGAAATCTCAAATTTGAGGAGTCTAGAAAGTAGAGTCTCGACCACTGCGGGCAGAAGGTGGCCTTACTAGATGCTTGTTCCAGATTAGAAATTCAAACACTTGAGAGAAAAGCCGACTTGTTTTCCTCTCTCTCTGAGAGATAAGGTTTGACTGGGGCTGAGGCTGGAGCCTTGGCCAAGCTCTCAGGGCCCCAAAAAGAGAGACAACATCCCATGGGAAAGAGAGCCCAAGACTTGTGGGAGGTGGATCAGGAGAGAGATGGCTGCTGGGGGTCTGGAATCCTGGAGGAGACCCCAGGAAACCACGCATTGAGTCCTCCAATCCAGTCTCAGTCAGACCCATTAGCACACGCCCTGCCAGAGGATCTTATTATGTATGATGATGTGCACGTAGCTAACTCAGCCAGGGGTTAACCTCAGGGCCTGGTTTCCCTCAACTAGGAACTGCAGATTAAACTTGACTGGCCCAGACACCTTTGACCTCCAGCTCAGGGTCTTCCTCACTTGTCTCCCTTAGATGGAATCTATTATGGAGAAAATCGATTTGACACAGTGAGTGAGTCTGGAACAGCCACACTGAAAGCTCGGCCAAGAGTCCGGCCCCTGCTGACTTTCCTTCCACTGGTGAGTACTGCTCTACTCTGGAGTCTGATGGTCTATTCTAGGTGGGGACACCTGTGACTGCCACAAAGGAGGCAGCCCCACTTTCCCTGGCCCTGATGGAGATCAGCCTCACACTCTATTTTTTTCTGCTGACCTAGGGCAGCTGCTGTGAGGGTGCATGGCCAAGGCCGTCAGCTGGGATTAGTGGGAAAGCTGGGATTAGTTGTGTTGGCACTTCTGGGGTTGAAACCCAAGGAGAAGTTATGGACAATTTGTGTACAGCATCAATGCACCAGTGGATACCTCTAGCTAAGTAGGATTCATATTCCATAATCATTGATGAGCCAGGTCCTGTGTTAGTGCAGGGATTCTGAGATGACTGAGCTAGCATTGCTGCTCTCAAGGAGCTCCCTGCCCAGTGCAAGAGATAATGAGTAAACAGATTGTTAGAACATAAGTCAGAGCAGGGGTAGCCAATCCAGCCACAGAGGATGGTCAAGGAGGACTTCCTGGAAGAGGTGACACCTGAGCAGCCTCAAAGGACAAATAGTGAACCTGAAGAGAAGGGCATTTGGGGCAGATATGTTTGAGAAACCAAGAATTGTCTTTTGGAGTTTATGTTTAGGCTTTTGTTTTTTGACAAGGGAGAAAAAAACAAACTAAACTTAATGCCATTGAGTCAATTCTAATCAATCTTTATGGAAGTAGATTGCCTCATCTTCCTTCCACACAGCAGCTGGTGGGTTTGAACCATCGACCTTCTGGTTATAGCCCAATGCCTTACCCACTATGCCACCATAGCAAGAGGCTCTGTGTCAGGTTCTATTAACTGTGGTGAAAGTTTTTGGGTTTTATGGGACAGTCCAGACTAATGCTGTCCAATAAAAACATAATGTGAACCTTATAATGTAATTTTTAATTTCCTAGTAGCCACGTAAAAAGTAAAAAGAAATAAGCAAAACTAATTTTAATAATATATTTTACTTAACCAAATATATGTTTGAAAGATTGTCATTTCAACACATTCAATGAATATCAAAAATATTAGGGAGATATTTTATATTCTTTTTTTCATACTACATATTCAAAAAGGGTCTATGGACCATAGTCGCAGGGGATATAAAGCTCAATTGGCATAATATACTACACAAAACATTGTTCCACCTCCTACTTTGGCGAGTAGTGACTGGGATCTTAAAAGCTTGCAAGCTGTCATCTACATGCAACAATGGGTCTCTCCCAAGAAAAACAAAAATTCATGAAAACAGTCCTAGTGACCATACAATCCTCAGCCTATACGACTATGAGACCAGAAGAACTAGATGGTGCCCGGCTACCACTGTCAACCACTTGGAAGGGGATCTATATAGGAGATCCTGGATAGAGAGGGAGAACAATGTGGAACAAAACTCAAAATCATTGGAGAAAAAAAAAGGGGGGGGGCCAGGTTTGCTGGTCCAATAGAGCCTAGTGGAACCACTGAGACTATGACCCCTAGCTGCCCTTCAGGTCTGGAATTGAACCCATACCTGTGGCTTCCAGCCAAACAAAAGACAGGCATATGAGTTGAACATTTACCTGAGGTAGATACACCCCTTTGAGAGAACAATCATGGGAGAAAGAAGGGCTGTTTATGCACAGGGAGACAGCTCAGAGGGCAGAAGTGCATGGAGGGATGGACACAGGGAAGAGGTAACTATCAGGAGGAGGTGGGAGCGGAGTTGTTGCATTGTGGTAAATTATGGTCAATGTTATGAGACAAAGTATATGTGAACTGCTATATGGAAAGTGAATTGGCTCTGTAAATTTTCACTCAAATCACACACACACACACACACACACAAAAGGGGTCCATGGGTCGTGCAAACAGTTTGAGCTTGACTGCTAACCTAAAGGTTGGTTGTTCAAACCTGCCCAGCGGCACCACAGAAAAAAGGCCTGACAATCTGTTTCCTTCCATAAAGGTAACAGCCAAAAATACCCCACAGAGCACAGTTCTGCCATGTAACAAAAGGGGTTGCCATGAGTCAGAAGTAACTTGATAGAAATGGGTTTGGTGTTTTCTTATTTATTTTTTTGTCTTCAAAATCTGGTGTGTACTTTACACATCCAGCACCTTTGACTTTTGACTAGCAGTCTTTCAAATGCCCAATAGCCACTTGTGGCCATTGGCTGCTGTATGGGACAGCCCAGGTCTAGAGCCTCAACAGCCAGCCTCATAGATTCTGATACATGGCTGTCTGCTAGACCTGGGTCCTCATTGAGACTATATTGTCACTAGGGTCATGACATTCTCACACTGCCGTGAGGGTTTGTACTGCCCAGGCTGACAAGCTGCCTTGTCTTGATTTGAGCTTTCACGGGCCTGTTCAGCCTCATGGCACCCCATGTTTGGTCCTAGACACCCACAAATCTATCCAGCAGTGTTGCCAGAACCACCCCATTCTCTCTATCACCAATTTTTCTTACCAACTAGACCCAAAACTCCTGGATGGGAGGGATCAAGTCTCACACTCTTCTTGCTGCATCCCCAAGGCACTTAGGTTGAGGGGTGGGAACATGCACCTTCATGAATAAGACTTTAAGTAATTTATCTTCTGCTTATAAAAGCAACTCATGCTTAGGGGGCCACTAAGCTTGTGTTCAAGGCAATGGAAAAATTTGGAAGTGGATAGTAGCGATGGTTGCACAACATGATGAACGTAATTAATGTCACTGAATTGTACCTGGGAAAATGTTGAAACAGCAATGATCTGTTTTATGTACCTATGTTGTCGTTAGGTACCAGGAGTTGGTTTTGACTCATAACAACCCTATGTACAACAGAACGAAACACTGCCTGGTCCTATGCCACCCTCAGAATCATTGCAATGCTTGAGCCCATCGTCACAGCCGATACACACACACACACACTCTTACCACTATTTAAAAAAGAAAGCAATTCATGGACATCATAGACAAATATAGAAAGTACAACAACCAAAAGATATAAAGCATATGAGTAGTTCCTAACTCTGTCCCCAAGATGCATAAGAGACTATTACAGGGGTCATTGCCACTCCTAAATGCAGAAGAGATGAGATGACATGTGGAGAAATTCTATTGGAATTCTCTCCCTACTTGTACCCCAGCCACATACTCAGAGTCACAGTGGCATAGGCCCAGGGCTGACACACCTATATTGGTTGTCAAATACTGAAAGACTTTTCCATAGGGTGGCAATGGCTATTGCCTGCTGTTCTAGCCCTTTCCCCAGATCTGGACTGGCTCAAGAATCAGCAACTAAAGGGTTCATAAGAGTCTCAGCTGCTTTTGTTCTGAAAGGGCTGTTAACCCTTGTTCTGGTTACCTAGTGCTGCTCTGACAAGACTATCCCACAAATGGGATGGCTTGAACAAACAGGAGTTCATTCTCTTACAGTTTGGAGGCTTTAAGTCCAAGTTCAAAGTGCCAGGCTCTAGGGGCTGGGTGAAATCCCCTCAATCTTGGGGTCCAGCTCTGCCTCCTGCTCCCGGCCCACGGGAGCTAGAGGCATTTCTTCACTCAGACAGCTGCTGGCTGCTGAGGCTGACAAGCCCAAGGCTGACAAGTAAAAAGGCACAGTCCTGATGTTACCAAACCACATGGCAGGCCATTAATTCAAGTCCATTGTAAGTCCCAAGGTCGGCAGAGCATGGCAGACACAGCTACATGTAGGGTCCAAGCGTGACATAAGCTAGAGGCCATTCCCAAAGCTGCTTCTTATATATGGAAAGCAGACCACATACCCAAAGCAGCTACTCAGCTGCTTGTGGTAGATTCCCCCATGGAGTTGACTGCCAGTTTCATCACGGGTTATAACTACCACCCACTATAACTGCCCAGCCACTCAACCAGACCCGGCCAAGTTGACATACAAACATAACCACCACTACCCTATATCTTCCTCTACCTACTTACCCACTTTGGATCCCTCCAGTGATGTGGGCAAGGCCTAGCCTTTCTGTCTCCCCCACACCCCTTCAGGATCTGGTTTTGGCCAACCAGGATTTGATTCACAGACTGTGCAGACCCCAGATAGGTTTGGCAGGAGACTTCAGGGAGGCAGGGGAGCTGGGCTGGTTGGACAGGCCTGGAGTTCCTGGGCCCTCCTGGGGAAATGCTTCCTAGGAGAGGTCCTTCAAGGCCAGCCTCAGAGCTGGTCCTAGGAAATGAGGTCTGTCCCCAGCAAACTCACACTCCCTTCCTGGTGGACTGACCCATGGATGTGTGGTGGACTGACAACAGAAAAGCATCTTAGATCCATACCAGCCTCACTTTACAGAGGGGGATATGGAACCCAGAGAGGGGAAATTCATTCCATTCCTTCAGTGATGGCTGAACAAGGTGGAGTGGCTTGCAGGGTGCTTCCTGGGAAGAGAACCTATTGACCACATGCTATGTGCCAAGCCCCATTCCAAGTGTCTCATTTGTGTTAACTCCTTGAGTCAACAGAGTCACCCTATGAGGAAGGTGTTATCATTCATCCCCATTTTCCAGATGGAGAAATTAAAGTACAGAGAGGGGAAGAAACCTGCCTGAGGTCACACAGCTTACAAGTGGAAGAGACAGGGAATCAGACCCCAGCAACCTTGCCCTAAGGTCCAAGTTGTGTTCAGGCCATCTTATTCTCTTCTCCAGCCACTACCTGAGATGCTTTTTTCACCAGCCAGCAGAATCACCTCCGTCTCCCTTGTCTCCCTCTCTGAGTCCCTGTCCAGCAGCCAAGGCCTGCTGAACACCATGGTCTTTTGGTTCTTTTGTGTCATAGACCCCTTGGAGATCATGATGAGGCAATGAACCACATACATACAGTTTTGCTTACAATTTCAGCAGAGGGTTCACAGTCCCCCTGAAGTCCACTCATGATTCACCTTTAAATTAGGTGCAACCCTTGGCCCTATGGCTGATATCCCAGGGACAGTTTTATGCTTGTGACTTCAGTCACAAGACACAGAGCAGCCCCAATATTCCTCATCACCTACTCCTGTGTTGAGGGAATC